GGTTAAGAAACTACTAGAAGAAATTATTCCAAGGTATGGCCTTCCAGTCTTTTTGGGCTCAGACAACAGGCCTGCATTCATTTCTCAGGTAGCACAGAAGCTATCTAGGTGATGGGGACAAATTGGAAACTTACTGGTTATCATCCCCCAGAGTTCTGCCCAGGTAGAAAGGATGACTCAGACCCTTCAGGAGACCTTAATTAAATTAATCCTTGAGGTTAACAAGTGACAGGGTTTCTCTCCGTTCCTTTGCTCTTTACCAGGTTCACAATTCCCCCTATTCTTTGGCCTAACCCCATGTGAGATCATGAATGTCAGGCCTCCCATAATACTGCCTAACCTTAAGGCGGAACTGTTAGCTGAATTTGATGACCAAAAGTTTCTCTCCTCCCTACAAGTTCTCTCTCAGGTGCAAAAACAACTCTGACCCCAGCTAGGTGCAGTCTGTGAGAAGAAACCGTCTCCTGTGCCCCACAGATTCTGCCCAGGGGACCTAATGGTCATCAAAAGATGTCAAAAAGAGACCTTCGAGACTGGCTGGAAGGGACCCCACACTGTCATCCTGACTATGCCCACAGCTGTTAAAATGGATGGGGTCCCCTCCTGGATTCACTATTCCCACACGAAACCTGTGGACCCGCACGCTGACCCTGAGGACTACGCTCCAGAAGACGCCAACTCTGGACATTGGGAGGGCATTTGCTCACCCACAGGACCCTCTCAAATTGAGAATTCAGAAAGTCATTGACCCAGCAAGCATAGGCTAAACAATGACTATGGCTGTGTTTGTCATCCTTCTAAGCCAGTAACTGCAAGGATTCTCTGTTACTTTTAACAGCTGGGCAGAATGTTTATATCCCCCATTGGCCCTACAGCCTCACTTGGGTTATTGCTGATTTAGAAACTGGGGAAACTGGGAATTTGGTTCCCTGGCTTGCCTTTAGACCTAATTGCCTGACCCCACCTTGTTCCTTCATGCTGAGCCCTTACCACCAGGTCCCTGGCTCAAGTCTTTTTCAAGATTAATATTTCTTCATCTGCCACAGCCATATTAAGGACAGGAAATGGGAGAAACGTAGGGGAGGGGGGAGATAAATGCCTCTTGGAATTGTGTCTTCACGGCCCACATCTGGTGGCTGGCCCTGTAGCATGGAGACCTCATTGCCGTCTCTAGGGCAGGCCTCCCAGTCTGCAAGAGGCTTCAATCAGGTATGGGCAAGGCATAAACCAATTCTAATTCAGTTTACTGAGTCAGGCAGGAAGGTCATGGGATGGACACCACATAAAACCTAGGAACTGTGATTCAGGGCTTGGCAGTTTAGTGTGGTAATATTTTGTTTGTGATATAACAAATAAAGCTTTCCTGAAGATCAGAGTGCAGACCTAAGCCACTAGTTAGCGATAGAGACCAGGCAGTGGTGGCACACATCTTTACTCCCAGTACTTGGGAGTTGCATGCCTTTAATCCCAGCACCAGGAAGGTGGAGGAGACAGGAAGGGAAATGGCTGGGCAGAGAGAGGAATATAAGGCAGGAGGAGATAGAATCTCAAGGCATTCAGTCTGAGGACTTGTAGAGATAGGATACCCTATTCAGTCTGAGGATTTAGCAGAGGTAAGAACTAGTGACTGGCTGCTCTGCTTCTGTGATCTTTCAGCTTTCACCCCCAAATATCTGACTCTGAATTTTTATTATTAAGACCAAGTAGAAATCATGTCACAGTTTGGTGACCCTGAGAAGCTGTTTTCTATACTAGTGAATGCTCATCTTCTGTGACACCCAAGCCTTTGGGTCCCCTAAAGGTATTGGCTGCCCTAGCTAAGCCAAAAAGTACAAGAACCCCAATATCTACCACTGAAATCCCTCATTTAGACTTACCCTGTAGACCAGGGCCCTTGGGGGCTCTTCTCAGTCACCTTCTTGGTTCTGAATGCTTCAAAGCCTAGCCTCACTGAAAACTGCTGGTTATGCCTAGTACCAAGCCCCCCATATTCCGAAAGTATAGCCGTTAAGGGAAATTAAATTATATCCCACAACATACAAGCCTGCAGGTGGCAACAACCAATTATGGGGAGGTTTACCTTGCCATCAGGAACAGGAAATGGCCTCTCTCTGGGACAAGCCCCACATGGCTATTCCTATCTCTGCAATCTCACTCAGAACTCAATGGGAGCTGGCTTTCTGATCTTACCAGATGATACCTGGTGGGTACATGCTTCTGGTCTCAGCCCCTGTGTTCATGTTCAGGCTTTGAATCAGACCAAAGACGTCCGCATCCTGGTTTATTCAGCTAGCCCCTCAGGGTGATCTACTACCCTGATGATAAAAACGTTTACCAATCAGAAACATCACTGAGACAGGGGAAACGAGAAGCCATCACAGCCCTCTTAGTATGCACCCTCCTAGGTGTTGGTGTATCTAGAGCCACAGGTACTAGAACTTCAGCTTCGATACTACAAGATCAGAATTACAGGGCCTTGAGAGTGGCAACAGATGCAGATATAACCACCCAAGAGAAATCCAGAACAGGAGGGAACTTGTTATCCCTGCACCAAGGGGACCATACATGGCCTTAGGAAGACAATGCTGCGTCTATGCCAACCATTCTGGAGTCATCAGAGACTCAATGACCCTGCTTAGAAAAGGCTGCATGATAGACAATCAGAAAAACAACAAAATTAGCTGGGCGGTGGTGGTGCACTCCTTTAATCCCAGCACTTGGGAGTTAGAGGCAGGCGAATCTCTGTGAGTTTGAGACCAGCCTGGTCTACAAAGTGAATTCCAGGACAGCTAGGACTGTTACACAAAGAAACCATGTCTCAAAACAAATAAACAAACAAAACAAAAAGAAAGAAAAACAACAAAATGAGGTCTGGTATGAATCTTCATTTAATTGGTCACCCTGGTTAACCACCTTCTTATTGGCTTTAGTTGGTCCCCTAATTCTGCTTCTTTTAGCCTTGACTTGTGGACCTTGTATCTTTAACACCTCCAGATCTCCAAGGCCCAACTGACGTTTTCAAAGCAACAATACAAACCTGTAAACCTGGACGAAGCATCTCCAGGATTTGAGATGATGAACTACTCAAGGGGGGAATGAGAACTCCAGGCAAACATCATGATAGGCCCCTAAAAGTTCAGTTAAGAACCAGGCCTCAGTTCACAAAGGGCAATCACCAATGCCTCTGACACTGGACCAGAATCACACACCTGGGCCACCCCCGACTCCCACCCTGCACACACAGGGACTTGTCCAGATTTGCCAAGAATAGAAAAGCTATAGCCTTAGACCGCCCATGCCAGCCCTAACCAATTAGAGTGTACGAATATGATTGCCACTTGCATAAACCAATCCTAAGGGAAAAGGTCACACTGCTTTAAAAATTCCTGTAGCTGTGCTTAAAGGGAGCTTACACGTCTCTGTCAGGGGCTTCGCCTTTCGTATAGGTGTGCAACCCCACATGCGTATCATACAATAAAGGCTCTTGCTGATTGCATTCCAATTGGTGGTCTTTGGGGACTTCTTCTGGACCCTAACAGGAGTGTTCCAGCCGTACCCTGCAACAGATAGGGATTGAGGGATGCTGGGTGGCTCTGGCAGCCAGGTCTGTTTTGATATATTAAATAAACCACAGTCATTTGTCACAGGGTTTGAGCTTAACACACTTCAAACATCGTTTCTTCCCACAACACCAACTCAAAAAGTCAGACGGTGGTGACATAAGCCTTTAATCCCAGCACTCGGGAGGCAGAGGCAGGTGGATCTCTGAGTTCGAGGCCAGTCTGGTCTACAAAACTTGTTCTAGGACAGCCAAGGCAACATAGCAAGACCCTGTCTCGAAAAACCAAAACCAAATAAGCAAAATCCCCACCAATTAAAAGATCAGGCAGCGAGGAATTTAGGATATCCAGAGCACAGGCAGCCAGAGTTGCGTCCCACCCCTCCCCCAGCTCACAGGAAAGCGGAACCATCCTTTCCAAACATCCTGCCTGCGGCGAGGAGGGGTAGAGTGTTAGGGTTAAGGATTTGGAGTCCACTTGCAGCTTAGACCACCGAAGCAGCGGGGATGGAGGAGCCTGGAGAACCTTCCCTGCTTCACACCGGGATGGCCACCATGTGCAGCAGAGTAGGAAGCCCTGTGAGGGTTGGCACTTCAGCCTAGTGGGCATGGTGGAGTCTCTGGCTGTGGAGCTGCAAGGCTCCAGCTGAAGGCCTAAGAACTGGATTTTGCAGGCTCTGTTGTTTTCATCTTTTTAGACAAATTCTCACCCCGTAGCCCAGGCTGGTTTTGAACACTTCTGCCTCCGTTTTCCTAGTACCAGGATCTTTAAATGTTTTACGTTTATTTTAGTGTAGGGTTAGGGCGCACGTATTACAGTGCACACATGTTGAAGTCAGAGCACAACTTGAATGAATGTGTTCTCGTTTTCTAGCCTGTGGGGGTATGGAATTCGAATTCCAGTTATTTAGGTTGATTGCAAGCGCCTTCTCTCTCTCTCTCTCTCTCTCTCTCTCTCTCTCTCTCTGTGTGTGTGTGTGTGTGTGTGTGTGTGTGTGTTCGTACACTTTGCTCTTTTAAGAGGGAACAGCATCAGTCACCGGTAATTTTGGTAAATGTATCCTGGAAACACTTGATATAGACTGTTGTCTGGTCTTGTCCTGGACACAGGGCAAGCCACGCGGAGGAAATTTCATGTAAAACCCAGTCCCTGCAGATCCCGCCGACCACCCCAGCCCCAAGGAGTCCGAGACAGGGTCTCGAAAGCCGGGGAGCTCTTGCACCCTAACCCGCACAAGGCCTCGCGCGACCTCAGCAGCTGGGCGACTACCATGACGCACCGGCCACTTCCGATTTCACTTTCCTTTTCTCGGGCCCGGCCGCTTCACCTCCACGGCGGCTGCCTGGGGATTTGCCCGGTGATCAGTGACGTCAAGCAGGCTGAAGTTCCCATTGGAGGGCGGAGTTCGGCAAGGGCCAATCCTAGGGCTGGCCCCAGAGAAATCTCGGTGGAGGGCACCCGGCGTCGGGAGATTGCTGGGCGGGGTGGTTGTGGTGCTTGCTGCTTGCTGCTTGCTACACCCGGGTCAGCTAAACCGAGAGGAGTGACCGGGCCCGGAGCGTGGTGCGGCTGAATGCGACTTGCACCGGTGAGACACGGCGGCTCCTCCGCGCGACCCGGGTGGGAACGGCGAAGGCGGCCGCGGGCCCAAGGCAGAGCTGGACAGGCCCGGGCGCGCGGGAAGGCGAGCTCGGGTGCCCGCCGCGTCCCCGGCTCGCTTCTGGGCCTTTCGCCCTGAGCTCGCTGTGTTCATTGCTCTTCAGGTCCAGCCCAGACTTACTTCAGTCTCTTCTAGAACCAAGATCCAGAAGTGAGCGGGACCCGGATGACGGTCTACCTGGTGGCTTGGAGCCCTGCATGACCAAAGGCAGGTCCTTATCTATCTATCTATCTATCTATCTATCTATCTATCTATCTATCTATCTATCTATCTATCTATCTATCTAT